GATGGCAGCACCCAGTCCCCTCAGCCCCGCTGCTGAAGTGTCCAGGCTTGTTGTCCAGGCAGGTGGTGGGGGAGTTAGGGGGCGGGGTGAGGGACAGAGCAGGCAATCAGAGGGTGCTGGGGGTCCCCTACCCAGGCATAAGGCCTGGACCAGAGGCCTCAGGCCTGGGCAGGGGCAGAGCCGGTGATTGGAGGGGGCAGGGGCAGAGCCGGCGATCGGAGGGGTCTTGGTGGCTGCAGTGACTGGCAGTGGCTGCAGCAGCGGGGTGATGGGGCTGGTGCCTTCCCCTGATCAGCCCGGTCGCCTCCCACAAAGGGAGGCCAGACTGTGGCTTAGCCGTCAGTAGGACATCCCCTGAGGGCTCCCAGTATGTGAGAGGGGGCATGCTGGGCTGAGGGACACCCCCCCCCCAGTGCATGAATTTCATGCACCAGGCCCCTAGTATATATATAAAAAGCCAGCAACTGGAAGGCCATAATGACTAAAACAACCGGTCACTATGACACCCACTGTGGCCAGCAAACCAGCCTGATCCGGGGGTGAGGCCGGCCGGTCTACAACCTGCAGCCCCTTACCCTGGCCAGCCCCACCCCCATTGGGCCCCCACCACCCCGATTGGCCCACAGCTCCTTTCCCCAGCCATCTCTGCCCCAGATCAGCCCCCCAACACCAATCAGGGATGGGGCTGGCAGGCCAACCTCCCACAGGCCCTCCCCCAGTGCTGACCCCCAATCACCCCCCTCACTCCATTCAGGGGTGGGGTTGGCCCACCAACCACAGCCCCTCCCCACTGCCGGCCCCAACCTCAATCGGCACCCTTACCCCAATTGGGGGCGGGGCCCATTGGCCAATTGCCCGTGGCCCCTCCCCACAGCCAGCCCAGCCCTGATCAAGCCCCAATCAGGGTAGGCTGGCTGGTTTACCTCCCGCCACCTCCTCTTCCCGACAGGCCCAGCCCCAATCCGCCAGCCGAACCCCACCCATGAACAAATTCATGCACTGAACCTCTAGTAAATAAATAAAAACAGAAAACATCTGGGAAAAACTAAGGAGAAAAAAAAAACTGGCTCAATTAAATTCATGTTGTCTAGTTTTTTCATGTTTGGTTCTCACCATAAATCACCTGGTCTATGCCCCTGGGAACTTCAGATCTTACTTCCACTGCCTTCTATTTTATTTTTAAATTCTTGGCCAATAGTTGACTGACACTGGAATTCCTTCTTTGAGCCTAATGGGAAACCTTTGATCACTCAGAGACCCTCCTACTCAAATTGTTGTTCACCTTATCTTTGTCTTGCACCCCTGTCAGCAACCATAACACCAGGAATATCCTTGGGGCAGGACATACAATACCTTGTGTCACATGATAACACAAGGTGAATGTCAAGATGATCATAGACATAAATATTTATAAAAGAAAGCTAACCCTCAATCAAAGCAAGATCAAGGTCCTTATAGACTTTTCTTTATTTAATAACATTAACAGATAATTTTTCAGATTATTTTATTTTTTGAAAATATTAAAACTAGAAAATATCTGTGAATGCCTATTAAGGTATATATTTTTTAAAGATTCTGATGTTGGATTTGAATTTATAGCTTTGATGATGGCCAAAGTATATTTCAGGATGGACAATTTAATATTTTTCTCTTCATTATCTAACAGTATTTTTTTGTTAGAGAATTAAAAGATGGCAGAATATGACAAGAGTTTTACCTATGAAATGTGCCACATATATCCAATTTCTGACTTTAAAATGGATAATTACTCATATTACCCTAATGAGGAAAACACTTTCCACATAAGAATATGTTGTATGATAATATTATGAACATGAGTGAGATAAGGAAAGAATCTTTATAATATCAAAACAAATTTGTCATTGAATAGTTCCCCTTTTTCATTATTTAACTACAGAATATCTATTGATTATCAGTTAGGTATAGGAAAGATCCTAACTACCACATGACAAAGCAGTGAAATAAAAACACAGCTCTCTGTATTAAGAGAGCTTATTAAGGTGCATAAAACATGTAAATGGACATAATTAGGCTAAAAAATAGGATGTGCTAATTGCCATAAATGAGGTATACTTGCATTATTGGTAAAATTTTGGGAAAATGCAAGATTTTTCAATTTGAAGAAAATTGTAATGTTAGGCATATTTTAAAGTGTATTATTTTAGTCCCTTGATCAACCACTTAAAAATAATGAAAAGAGGTTCTGTTTAAAAAAATAGATATGTTAAAATTAAATATTAAAAAAAGTATTTAGATGAGAAAAAAAATAAAGTGAAGGTACTGCTCTGCTCAAGTTGCCGTAACAGAACACCACACGCTGGGGGATTAAACATGAGGCATTTATTTTCTCACAGTTCTGGAGACTGGAATTTCAAGACCAAGTTGCTGGCAAATTATGTTTCTGGTGAGATGTCTTTCTGCCTTGCAGGCACCTCCATCTCATTTTGGGCTCACATGACTGTTCTCTGTGTACACATGAGAGAAAGGAAACTCACAATCTGGTGTTTCTTTTCATAAGGACAATAATCCTATTGGATCAGGACCCCATCCTCATGACCTCATTTAACCTTAATCTATAAGTCATTCTAGAAACAAAAAAACTAGAGAGACAAATGGGTAGAGGGTTTAATTATAAATGCCACCATTAGGCAGTTTTTCTGGGGGGTGAGGAACTCTTCTATATCTTGATTATGGTGATTATTACACAACTCTATACATTTATCAAAAATCATAAAACTGTACACAAAAGAAGAGTGAAATTTACTGGCTATAACCTTAAAATTATATTAAAAACTAGAGGCCCAGTGCATGAAATTTGTGTGCAAGTATAGTCCCTAGGCTGTCCTGCGATCAGGGCTATCTTCCCTGGCTGCCTGCAGCCAGCCACGCCCCCCACCATCACCCACCCTTGGTTCCCCATTTTCAATCGTGCGATTGGAGCCTGGCGGCCAGGGAAAGGGACCAAGAGGTAGTCAGTGAGCCTCACAGTGACTAGTCAAGTGGTCATTCTGGTCATTTTGCTGTTATGGTCAATTTGCATATTACCCTTTTATTATATAGGATAGAGGCCTGGTGCACAAGTGGGGGCTGGCTGGCCTGCCCTGATGTGGGCCCCTGATCAGGGTGTGGGTCCCCACTGGGGGGTGGGGCAGGCCGGGGCAAGGGGCCACGGGTGGTTTGCAGGCTGGTCATGCCCCCAATTGGGGTGTTGGTCCCCGCTGGGTTTTGAGGCTGGCCAGGGTGAGGGGCCACAGGCAGTTTGTAGGCTGGCCACACCCCTGATTGGGGTGGGGGTCCCTGCTGGGGGGCGGGGCCTGCCAGGGTGAGGGGCCATGGGGGTTTTGCAGGCTGGCTACACCCCCGATCGAGGTGGTGGGGTGTTTCCACTGTGGGAGGGGGCCGGCTGGGGTGAGGGGCTCCTGTAGTTCTGGTCTCTGGTTGTTCTGGTCTTTCTGCCATTTCGGTCACTGGGCTTTTATTATACAGGATAATGTAGCCCAGCAGGTGTGGCTCAGTGGTTGAGCATTGACTTATGAACCAGGAGGTCACAGTTCAATTCCCAGTCAGGGCACATGCCCAGATTGCAAGCTCAATCCCCAGTGGGGGGCATGCAGGAGGCAGCTGATCTATGATTCTCTCTCATCATTGATGTTTCTATCTCTCTCTCCCTTCCTTTCTGAAGAGAGCTAGATATAATATAAAATAGTAAAAATTCTATCTTTTCCCTACAGCAATTTAAGAAAAAAAATCTGACTTTCAGTGTGATAGAATTCTTCATTTTCTTTTCAAATATCATTGCCACAACTATCTTTTATGTGATTTCTCAGGGAAAAAAGATTCATTCACTTTGAAAGATTATTTAAAGATAAGTGATACTTTAAAACAACTAATTTAAATCAGTTCATATCTGAAAAAATCTGACCAATTTATGAATTCTGTACATTTTATAATATTTACTCATTTACATATTCAGGTCTCTATTTCAGAGAAGCTGAATCACTAGAAGAGTAGAACCGTATCCCATTCCAATTAAAAGTTTGAATAAGTATGTCATGGATTTTGAAGCACCTACAAGAAATGTAAATTTAATTGCTTGCTCTTAATGATCTCTAGAATCAACTCCATCTTCTGTGACTGGGTTTCATATTAATATTTCATTTCTATAGCCACTTAAAATCATTATCTTGTTGCCCAAACGATTATGCACTACTCAGAGCCTTTAAGTGGGGACCAAGCCCACCAAATAGCTTATAGCTGAGAGTTCATGAGTGGGGACAGATGGAAGGAGAAAGGCTCTTACTCAGCACTGTGACACAGCCCATGACACAGACAAGCAGTTTGTTCCACCAGTTTCTATAACTGACTACATTTGAGAAGAAGTGGCTTTTGTAGGCAAATCCCACGTAGAGTTGCGGTTAATGGTATTTGTCTGCTCCCTCAAATTTTTCTCCATTTATCTTCCTCATGAACTACTGCAGTAACTTTCCTAAATTTATATTTGTCAGTTGTTTTATTTATCTGGATTTTAGAAGTATTTAGCCAACCACTACAGCCCCTTAAGACCATGGTTTATGAAGCATGACCTACTAAAAACTTACTTGGATTTCAAAATTTAATAGACTATTATTATTATAGTATTTTTGTAACCTTTAGTAAAATAATAAGACTTTAGGATTTTAGAATTTTAGGGTTAATCATTAAAACAAGGAAAAGGAGAAAGCTATTGCTGAGTGTTTTTATAAGAGTTCATCTAGACAATTCTAATTATTTCCTTGTTCCTGTTGAATCATATCCTGTGATTCAAGTTCAGCAGAATAGTTTTGCATAGCTCTTGCCCCATTCAGAATGGCCATAGACTGTTGGTATAGATATTTGCATGTGTAGTAAGTTGAGCAATATATGTAGATGCTGCCAAGCAGCCTGTAAATAGGTTAAGGATGTTTACTTTCTAGAGGAGTTTATGTCTTCATAATACAATTGGCAAGCACAAGGCGGAGAACCGGGAGGAGGCTTATGCACAGCTGCACACATTGATTCGTAAACAGTACGTGAGGCTGAGTTAGAATGGTCTCCTGGCAATAAAAGACCCTTCCTCTCAAAACTTATCTGTGGGAATGTGGTCAATCTCTGCTACATATTGGCCAAACTGTCTCCTGGGAGTTTGTCATGAACCACAGTGTGAAGATTTTTAACCAGTAAAGAACTTGGAAGATTGCTAGGCAACTCAGTGAAGATATTCTAAAGAGATCTAGAAACAAAAAGGAATATTTTTTTATATCATAACCAATGAATAAAACTGAGCTCAGCCTTAGCATGTGAAAATTAAATATTGGGAAACTTTTGAGACAATTGAGGAAGTTTGATCACCAACAGGATATTAAATATTAGGTATTATTGTATTTTAAGATGTGATAGTGGTGTTAAAGTCATACTTTGTAAACCTCTTATCTTTACAGGTAAGCACTGGTTGCAGTTGCTATATGTCTGGAACTTGCTTCAAAATAATACAGGAGGTAGGGAAAGAATGGGTTACAGGTGAAGCAAAATGGGCCCTGACTTGACCTTGAAGTTACAGGACAGGTCCAGGAGGTTCAGTGATACAAGGTGTTCCAACTTCATACACTTGTGTATTTTTGAAATGTTCCACAATAATAAATTAAATCAATATGTTTTTAGAAAGGAATCCTAGTACTTCCCTAATTAACCTTTTTCAAACTTATGTGGGAATTGGCAAAACAGAGATCTGGGCTGCCAAGCTCCTGTTATGTTGTCAAAGGGATGTTTTTCCCTTTGTGGTCTTTTTGGGGGAAGAATAATTAATTATTTAATTATTGAAAAGTTTATTTGCCTCAAAGTACTTGCCAGTTCTCTTTCCATTTCAGATTTTCTCTTTCTTTTTTTCATTATCTACTCTGTTTTGTGTTGTATTTTTTTTCTTTCTTCTTTCCCTCCTCTAGTCTCATGTTTTATCCAATACTGTTAGCTATTTTCAGAGGGAGAGTCAGCCCAGGGACCTAATCTGTCACCACTGGGTGCAGAAATCTCCCTAGTTGCTCAGTGTTTAAAGATCACCTGTCTGTTAACGTTACCAAAGTAGACATGGGTGCTGGTGAGGTTATGCAGGAGGGACAATAAAGAAATAAAAAATGTAACATTTCAGGAAGGGATATATTAACATTCCCCTTATTCCTACCTCAAGTCTCATAAAAAATCCAAATAACAGATTTAAAGACAATACTTTTGATAGCCTGTTTCCAAAGAGCTCAGAGATGTAAAATAAATCAGAATACTTATCTGTTCAATCTTCTCTACTGAGATTTGCAATCTCAGTCTAAGGGGTAGATCCTTCCTCTATAAAAGATTACAGTGTGCCTAAGAAAGACATCTCTTATTGATTATCAATATTAATGAATAGGAATCACTCTTGAAATGTCCATATACAAAAAGGTCAAGCACATTTTAAAAGTTAAAATAGCCTTGATTTGTATTATGTTGATGTGCTGCATCCTCAACAAGCACATTAACCAAATGTATGAATGGAACTTTTAAAAGCCTCTCTGAATACCAGCTGACCCTGCAGGCTCAGCTTCAGTCCTTAGTCATCATCAGAACAGGAAGTATGTTAAGAGCTTGCTGCTCTTTCTTGTCCCACTGTGGTCTCAGTCCTCAGTGGGCTTGGAGACAGCACTCAAGGTCACAGTTTGCCTTGGTACTTGGTGTGTTTCCCCCGTCAGAAAACCAGGAAATTAGCTCCCTTCTCCACCTGATTCCCTGCTCTGCATTTCTTTCACACTGGGGAGGAATTCTGTTGAAAACACCAGCCTACCTGAAACATTTGTGGCACATTGCATCAGATGCGTGAAGAAACTCTACTTGGTATTGTGAGAAAATTAAGCAGTATTCCCTGTTTCATGCACTCCACCAAGGAAGGTAAAACAAAAGCAGGGCCACTATTTTATAGAAATTAAGGGGCTCATTAATGGAAAACCATGCTGACATAGTCACCTAGCTGGGCATGTGGAAGGGAAGCATCTGGTGGAAAGGTGAGCTCCCAGGAGCATGGCAGCCAACATCTTCAGTGCAAGATCATTGAGACATTGGCATCAGTTAATGTTGGAGACTAATAGTGGGACTCTAAAGGGCCAAACTGAGCCTTGTAGAGGCAACCACAGAGTGCTGCAAAAGTCTAGTCAAAAAGCAATAAATAAAAGTGATGTTGGAAGAACAGATGAATGAAAAAGTGGAGGGGAGATGATAGTAGGACCACATTATAGTTTTCAAATCAATTCTCAGTTGGGTAGTTAAGTGCTGAAATAATAAAGGACATAGCCAAAATTATTATGGAGAATAGATTGTCATGAAATAGTCTGATTTGATGAAGAATAAATAGGAAGGTTACCTGCAATACACCCAAGTCACTGTGGCTACAACTTCATGGCAATAATCCACTGGTCATTGTGAGGAAAGAGTCTGGTTTCAAGGAGATGATTACTTCTATTCTGAGTGTGATGCAGTTTCTCTGCAGGATGTGGTGGGCCAGGTTCAGAACTGATGTAGGACCTCAGATCCATGAGCAACAGAAGGCAGAGGGAGGTTGCAATTGTGACTGTGGGTAGAGCCTTGAATTCTGCAAAGTCTGTGTCACCTGGGTAGAAGGAAGACTAAAGGTGCCCCTTCCCTGCTGACTGGGTGGAAAACAGGAGGCAAAAGAAGTGCATTCACTCAATCCATCTTTTATCATCTTATTTCATGTAAACATTGTGCTGCATATTCATTGACTTAGTAATAAACAATGCTAGCCCTCAAGTTTTAAATGTCAACCTGATTTTTTATCTATTCCAGTTCACTGGAATTTGAAATATGCAAAACTGAGATACACAGGAAATAGATTATAAAAATAGTGAGAAATCAAATTTCACAGGTCTGAATTTATCTGCAAAGAGATGAACATTGTAACTGCATGAATGTTGAAAAGTGGGAAAAAGGATAAATGAAAGATCTGTGTTAACACCAAAGGATGTGGTAGGGCTCTCGATGTGAGGCAAATCCCAACTTTCAGTGGTAGCCTCGAACTTTCTTTCACTATTTCCCTAAATTATTTGTGTTGCTTTGACATTTCTCTTTAATATTATGCTATCTCTATGTATAATATTTTATTTGGGGAATAAATTATAAGATGCAATTTGGATACTAAGAGCAATTTCAAGTGAAAAGTCAAAAAATATAAAGTTCACATTGATAACAGTAAAGCAAATTACCACTGAGTAGACAGATAAGGAATACAATAATGATTTAAATGTGGTTTATTGAAATAAAAAATCATGTAATTTTGTAAGCCTGTCAGAATACTATCTAATAATAAGATCAAGCAAATATTATTTTCCATGACATTGCTGAATAATTTGGAAACAAGAGGCATGGGTTAAAATTGATCAGAATATTTAACTCAGCCAGTTTGATTTGAGAGCTAGAAATACCAAATTATCAAATTGAAAACTCATTCTTCCTCTCCTTGATCATACATGATCATCAGAATCTTAGAAAAATGTGCTTGAAATCATTATTGGCCAGCATTCAGTTATGAAGTTTTCAATCAAGAATCTTTTATCAATACTGCTTAGCAGTTTCATTATCATCTCTAATTTCACAAGCAAAGTAACCCATGCATAAAAGGACATGAAGTCAGTATGACAGCTGATCCTTCAAAATTAACTCACTAAATCTAGTGAGGGCCACATGGTAGCATAATAGATGACTACAAATAGTTTAAAAGGTAGTTTTGGTGCTCATAGTGTCCAGTAAGTCTTTTTCCATAAAAGGCATTTTTAAATAAACAGATACCCATTTAAAAATTATCAGATTTATTCTGATACCCTTAGAAAAATATAAGGTTGTAATGTTCTGTTTAATTAAAAAATATATATTTATAGAGATACTGTTCCATTCCAAGCTCTGTGCCAGATGATAGATCTTAGAAAGTAAATAAGATGCTATTCCTGTTCTTATAGAGCTTTTAGTCTAGTAGGAAAAGATAGAAATAGATGTAGACTGTCCTAATCTATATATATAAAAGGCTAATATGCATAGTGTCCCCTCGGGAATTTGGCCAGGAAACCAGGAGTTTGATTGCTCACTATGATGTGCACTGACCACCAGGGGATGGTGCGGAACATGGTGGGTGATCAACAGCAGCTGCGAGGTGCTGAGGGAGCAAGGGAAGGAGGAGGTGCAGAGGCAGGGAGGTGGGGAACCTGATTGGCCCTGATTGCTGGCCAGGCCTAGGGACCCTTCCCGTGCATGAATTTCATGCACTGGGCCTCTAGTATGTTATAATAATTTAAGTCATGGCCCTAGCACCCAAACTACTGAATATGGGGAAGGGAGATTCTGAGGGAATCAGAAAAGCTCCCTATAAGAAAGGTCTGTGATCTAAGATTTGGATCATAGAAATGAGCTAGGTAATGAATGCACTGAGCAAAATATGAAAGTAAATATGGATATGGATGTGGGTGTGGGCCCTCCAGAGTGGCCAGGTCATAAACCAATAGGGTGGACAGGCTGCTACAAACCAGATGTTGAATGAATTCCTGTAATTACAATCTGAATATAGTATCTATGTTTTTATTGATTCTGCTACTCATTCATTATTGAGAGACAGTAAAAGGGAACATGTTCCACAAATGATTCATTAAGGATTTCTTTCCTTTTTAGTTTAAAATTGGGGAGCATGTGCGCCTTGGTCCCAAGGGAAGAAATGAGGGGACCAGCCAGCCCTGTGTATGATTATTGCACATCTCTGCAGAAGAGCACACGGAGTAGGGGCAGAGGGTGGAGAAGGAGATGGCAGGGGTGAGAAGCTCCTTAGGTCTCTTCCTTTGCACCAGGCCAGATCAGTTCAATAAGAACCAAACCTGCTCTTAAAGGGATTCTAGGGACCCAACCAATAGCACTTTTCATCTGAGTCCAGTCCTTGATCTGATTGAGAAATTAAAACAAAATACCGATGAGAGACCAAACTACTACCCTGGTTAAGCCGACAGTGGGAGATGTGGCTTATCTTGGGGGTAAGGGGCTCCCTTGCACTGACCCCGGAATTAAGCACAGTGGGAGCAGTGCTGCCTAGGAATGCCTTACCAATGAGCAGCTGCTCCTATAAACTGGTGTCTGGACCAGCATAGAAATACTTGCTTCCTGCAGGCAGGAAGTTCCAAAGTGAAGAAGGAGAGGACACCCAGTGCAGTTTCCCCTTCCACACTCAGCAGCAGTAGTGCTGTTCTGCTGGGCTGGGCGAGCCGGCCGGCCTCACAGGTGTTGGCCAGTGCGGTCACATAGGGCCAGGCTCGGGGACCCATGCATTGGGGTGACTGCTCTGTAGTTGCCATTCTGAGATTTGTAGGAATTTCATCTTACAATCTGTGTTTTGCTGGTGAAGTCCGATGGGCCCTTGGACATGCTCCAGGGCTTGGCGCCTTGGCTCAGGAGACGTCCACTTGACCCTGCTGGGGATGGGTTCTCAGGTGTCCACTTCCCTACAGCCTGGCACCCTGGCCCCATTACCTCTTCCCCAAAAGTGCCCCCTCCCCACTCAGTGACTGTCTCAGGAGTGGGGTATGGCAGTGTCTGTTCCTTCCCTGGGCAGGTTTCAGGTGTTTTGGGGGGCACTCAGCGTGTGTGTATGA